ATTTAAAATTTATTGCAAAGCAAAATCTCTATTTTTGCTAAGCTGCTTTCTTGAAACGGTGCAAATCGTCTGTCATATACGGAAAGCCACCTTTAAGATACATTCACCGTCGTTTTCCTTTTAAAAGAAAAAATTCTCTCAAAGATTTTTTTCTAATCGGAAGCTATACTAGTAATTTTGAATTTAGCTGTGACGAGATCCCAGACATAGACTACAACCTATGGAAGGAGGAGCTGGATATGTGATATGAATGATTCGTAACCTCACCTTTACCTCATTGCGACAACGTCGCCGATCCTCCCCATTCTAGTCAGGTCCCCCTTTTCATCTATAGGTTCTTTAGTGTAGTCAATCGCCAGAAGTCTATATCTGTACATTTGATTCATTGTTATGTTTAATTGCATTTTTTTGTCTTTTCTGCCTTTCTCAGTCTTTCCCTGCTGAAGCCTTCAGTTCAGTAAGGCGTGCCCTGCCGAGCTTCTTGAACGCCTTACTTAGTAAACCCTCAACAGTTACAGGTGTGTTTAGGTATTGTTCATTCGTCTTTGATTGAAGAAAATAAAATTTTACTCGAAGGTGTCCATATTTCTATCCGAGTCCGACTGTCGGGTCTTGTTATTAGTAAAAAAATCCGCGAGTTGGCATTAACCAGCACTACACCAGTAGAGAGATACAAAAGCTTACGACAAATGTAAAACATAGATGCTCGAAAGCATCAGTTTACTTCAATTCCCCCTCATACTCTTCTAAAAAAAATCAGAGCAGGCGACGTGATCCATGATGATTAACTATGGTGTGTAAACGGATCGGGACGGTGCTGTTTTAGAGGTGATGATGAAAGTTTGCTATATTATTATATGTCGCCTATTTTTTTGATCTAAAGTTTAATATCACATTGTGCTAACATCATTAGTCCTTTTGAATAGTCCCACCAAAACATTCGTTATACTTATTCGACATTCGCAATAAGTGTATCATAATGAAGAAGAAATGATGAGATTTTACCAATTTTCGTTTTTTCTGCCAAAAATTGTTCTGTGCGATTAGAAGCGGAGTCAATTTTTAGCTCAAAG